CATCTTCTATGTTACAAATGATACTAAAGCTATCCAGTTTTGCTTATATTATACTTTATTACAAAAATCCTCTGTTACAATATCCTGTATATTGTAACGATATCTCACACAATATGATATAAAAATGATGATTCTATAACATCCCAATTCATAATCGCTTATAACTTAGGACTGTAGATACCCACTAAAAATAAAAAGATAAATATCATTATTTGTCTAATAATATAGCACACACAGAGATTATCTCAAAAGCCATAAATATATCTTACGGAAGTTTCATCTTCATGAATATCCAACATGCAGTAAATGATACAAGTATGCTAAGGAATCCAACACAGATCAAGAGAACTCTGTTAAGTTTTGGCGTAGACGGACCATGCGTTTGATCTAATATGATGAAGCCCAATCCTCCCATCGTAAACAAGAAACTGGAGGCTAAACCTTCCATGATATACTGTCCATTTACGCGATAAGGCATAAATGCTACCTATAAGAATCATACTGATTTACATTAAAGAAACTAATTATTGGAGAATAAAGTTTTCTCAACAATAATCTTACGGGTCTCGTGTGACCATGTTCATCTGTCGTAGATCCTACGCTGGGTGGCTCAACAATTACATCATATATAATTCCTATAAGATATAATCATGTAAAACTGAACATAAATGATAAACAGTATTAGAAGCATTATAATGTATTATATTTAATTATAAAATAATAATGGAAACAGAGAGAGAACATATTAAATTATATAAAAACAATTATATAAAACATATAGTATTGCTAGGTAAATTATATACGTAAATATTGTATAACGCATTAACAATAAATATATAAAATAAAATTGTATTGTAAAATAATATTGCATAAATAATTTAATATTATTGTGTATAAATTATATATTTTATAATGCAATAATATAATAATAAATAAGTTGATAGAATTAATGGCTAACCTCCTGTCACTAAGAAGTACGACAGCAGTATGAAGGAGAAGACTATCATAGCACTAGGCTTCACAAACCAGGATGGTCTCTTTAATTTTAAGTTAGGCACTTCCAAGATTAAGAACGGTAACCGGTAAATGCACTCCATCCTGTCGCAGTCGAGTCTAAGCTGCTACGAGATGAAACAATAAAGGATTTCGTTTAGAAACATTCACCTGACAGTTCCAAACTCCAGACAGTCTGAGACCTGAGACAGCCCGGCAACTCTGAAAAAGCGTCCCGTCCACTCCCCTTCGTGCCAGATCACATTGCTCAAATCAACGAATCAGCGCAGGGCGCGGGCACAGTGCACGAATATCTAGACGCGTGGCGTGGCGTTCTACCCGGAACTCCCGGAAGTCCCGGAAACGGTTATCTAGGCGCCTTTCGACGCCGAGCGATTGACTCTCGAGTTCTTGCGGTCGACCGAGTCGAGGATAATCGAGGACGATATCCGAAAGAGAAGAAAAAAAGACGAACGAACAAACAAGCGTGATAGCGCGCCACGTAAAATCTCGTAGCAAGCAGCGACGGTAATTAAGTTTCCATTAATTTTAATTAGTTCCCACGAAGTAACCTTGCAGCGGGCAGAGTGACAAGCAAATTTTTCACGACTTAATGCAAAGCAATTCCTTAACAATTTGTTTGTTTGACGTATTGCTCAATTCTTCAGATACTGGTAAGTACGTATTGTATTGAATAATAGTATTTATTTTACACACGTCTAAATAATTTTGTACTATTACAGAGTGTAAAGGTATGATCCTCGTTGAAAGAAATCTCTGCTGCGAATGTACGATGGATATATAACCTGAAATCACCAGGGTAATTTTATGTTGACCAGCACCGGAGGAATATATCGTGAAAAATGAGTGAGACTATTCCAATGAATGATGTACCTGAGAGCAACGGTATGGAGCAGCCTGCTTATAATGGTGAAACAGAGGAACACGCTGGTAAGTTCACATTTATGATGTTTATGATTATTTTCATCAATGTAGAGTAAATTTCATCTTGATTCAACTTACTCTTAATTTTTTCTAGTTTGCCTGTTTCTATCAATGTAGATCAAATTTAATTTCAGTTCAACTCATCTTCATCTTTTTCTAATTCTAAGAATTAGAAAAAGATGAAGAATTATAGTTAAACGATTAAAACATTGATACAAATGGACAAATTTTAAGAGAAAAAGATGAAGATTAAATTGAACTGAGATTAAAATTAATCTACTATAGAAACATATATTAATATGACTTTGATTAACATGCAACTTTGATTAATTTAACTGATAGAACAACTTATAGTAAAAAATTTATAATTCATACATAATTCATTGATTCTAATCTTTCTGTGCATTAAATAAAACATTCTATATTAAAATAATATAAATATTAATTGATAAATTAATTATGATCCTTTCTGCTTCATTAGCCAAATCTCCAGTAAGTACAGAAGAGAAAGTACCAGATTCAGTGTGCGATAATGGTATAAAGAGGAGTGCCACTGCCACTGGTAATACGCCAAATAGAACGAAAAAACGTAAAAAAGCCCCGAGAGATGCCACTGCGCCAAGACAGCCTCTGAGTGGTTACTTTCTGTAATAATTGAACATACAAATACTTTAATATAAGTTAAAATATTCTGTCTATAATGAAATACAACGTGTGTATAGGTTTTTAAACGATCGGAGAGAGAAAGTTCGAAATCAGAATCCAAGCTTAACGTTCACAGAAATCACGAAGCTTCTGGCTGCAGAATGGAGTAAATTGCCAATTGATCAGAAGCAGGTTTGTTGCTTTCTTATTGTATCTCATTTGTTTCTATAATATTAATCTCTCTAATATTAATGATAATGATAATTAATCTCTCTAATATTGATACTTTCAGCGTTATTTGGATGCAGCTGAACAAGATAAAGAACGCTACAATCGCGAGTTTAGCGATTATAAGCAAACAGAAGCATACAGGCTGTTTAATGAAAAACAGTCGGAGAGACAAAATGAAAATAAGAAAGAAAGAAATGGCACGGACATAAACACCGAACAAAATGTACGATGATATTACTATATTTAAGATTGTAGCTAATCGATCGTAACGTTAATGGAAACTTCTTATTTAGGACATTCAGCAGGATAAGGACAATGATTTTACAGGCTTTGACATCCCTATTTTTACAGAAGAATTTCTAGATCATAACAAAGGTAAATAAGTTACAGGAATTACAACTAATCAATAAAATATAATAAAATGGACATAGTTTGAAATAATAAAAATATCTGCGTAGCTTGTGAGGCTGAATTAAGACAATTGCGGAAAGCTACATCTGACTACGAAGCTCAGAACGCGGTTCTTCAGCGACACGTAGATAGTCTGCACGCAGCGGTGAGTCGCTTAGAGTCCGAAACTAATCAACAACGAACAACTAATCAAGCTCTGCAGCGTCATTTGGATTCTCTTCGTTCTCAACTAGCAGGCTGCTTCGCCACTATACCGCTTCCAGGCGAGTTTCCATAAAAAATTTTATCACTGATCACATGTCAGCTCGACATTTTATTTGTATAAGTATTTAATTTTTTATAGGCACACATGACGGTGCTACGTTACAAAATATCGACAGTTATTTCGAGAGGCTGGAATCTCTATTAAGCAGCAACGCCGAGCAGAGTCTACGTAACGCCGTACGTAGTGCTGTGTCTCGTCTCGAATTAGTTGGATGACGATCGCCTCCGGGCAATACAACCAGTGCGTCGTTGAAACATCGTTCGAGGCATTCACATCGAAAGTAGCGAAGAAAAGTTTAGGTGTGTTGTTTTTAGCGGTTTGTAAAAAAATTCCACGTTATATCTTACAATAAGACCGATGATTGCTTATTTATGAGTGAGTTTATGTGTGTATTGTATTTAATTATTATTTGTGGTATCTTTAGTATACGAGACAATAATTTACACTTTATATACTTATTTTAATCAAAATTGAGTTATAAATACAATGATGATTTCATCAACTTGTACTATGTATCTTAACTTGATATGAACTTAATCTAATTTATGCATTTATGTATATTGAATAGTTACATGTGCATTGAGATCAAACTCTCTTTTTAATTAATACCTAATGATTAGTCTGAAAGTTTAAAGAATCTAAATTCAATATTATTTAAAATACTTAGCGCTTGTTAAATTATTAATATATTTTTATGATCCTGTCACGAATTATTATCCATGTTCAACATATGCTTTTTCAATTGATTCGACATGAATCTGAAATTATAAGTTTTAATTTAACATTATGTTATATAAACATAAAAATTATTTATAATTTAAAGATTTATGATTATTCTTACCTTAAGGATGCTGCATTAGGTCGATTATATTGTTCAGCATAAAGTATAATAGCTTCAATTTGCGGAAATATATTGATTATAATATTTTTCTTTATCGACAAAATAGATCGTATGAACTCAAATGTAAATTGTGTATTTGTCATCAAATATTTTTGTACTGCAGTAGAAATAGCAGTTTGGAATTTTTCCCTGAAAAACCAAGGATTAT